TGTTGGGCGGCTGCAGAAGTACAGTGGAGCGACCCTGTTCCTGAAAGATACAAATAAAAACACAGAGATATTATAAACTGAATGCTGTTGCAAACACCTCAGGCTGTTACATATATTTACATAAAGTGCACCAGGGAGAGTGTGTTATGTCTGTGCCAGTGTGTGTGTGTGTGTGTGTTTAAGTGGGAAAGAGAGAGACCTGGTGTCTCTTTAAGGCTTATCATTTTGGCTCATGGGTAAGCTAGCTATTTACTGTAACTGGAATGTAAGGAGGTATGTGGCACAACACAGACAGCAGTGCCTTACACCCACCTAAGATAGAAAACACACCATATTAAATAACATTTACTCCAGAAACTGACAAGGAAAAATTTTTTGAACTGATTTAACAGAAAACCTCTGGACTCTTAGGCTCATACACAGACTAAAGAGCTGGCAACACCACTTTGATTAGGAGTGGTAGAAATCCATATCCAAAACAAGAGGGCTGTTTGCTTACAAAAACTGTCTCCAAGTGAACTCACCCAACCTTTATCCCTCCACTTAAGTGAGATCACCTGTTTCAGACTAGGAACTAAACAGATCCACCTCAAAGGGGCTTCATTTCTTTGGGCGCTTTAGGTCAGGAGGAACTTTTTCATAGTTCTAATAACTATTGGAAAAAGTTCCTCCTATTTTGTGTGTATACACTGGAGGAACTGAGAGTGATAATAGTTCTTAGAAGGGGTAGGTACTCTCCAAAGCACAATAGGAACCATGAGTTACGTAAGTGTATGTTGACCACAGCAGCACTAATTGTCAATTTTTAAAAACTGTGTTAGCTGTGTATAGCAATCAATTCCCATCATCAGTGGCATGGGGAGCTTCAGTCCACCAACATAAGAATCAGATTTAACAAGCTCAGTACTGAGGTTCTAATGATTTAATACTATTCACTTAAATGTGTTGAATGCTGATGAATCTTACTGAGTTTTTGGGTCACCACAACAACAACCGCACCATGGAGCGGAGAGCGACGTAGGTCTTTGGTCATCATTTGGAGCCTGTTGTGCTGGAGAGCACCCAAGCATTACTGCACGGTAAGGATGCACGTGAACAGCAACACTGTGTGTGTGAGAGCATGTCTGGCCTTATATCTCTGTCACTATCTCAGCCCATGGCTCACTGTACATGCAATCAGGATCTTTTTCCTCACATTATTACAGTTTGACCTCTGACTGACCCCCTCTTTCTCGGTCATGACACTGAATTCAGTGTGTGCAAAGAACGGGTGATGTGCAGTGTTTGTGTGCATGAGCTAAGTGGTGTGCGTGCACGAGTGCATGCCACCGTTTGTATGTTCGTGAGAACCGTGGTGGGCTCAGAACATGATCAGCTCCATTGCCCATGGGGTGGGGGGGATAACTTGTGCGTATGTGAGCGGGTGTGTGAGTATGTGCATGTGTGCACGTCTCCGACAACAAACGTTCATTCATTACAGGGATTCGTAGCACTCAAAAACACTGACCATACTGAACATCTTGTAACTGTAACCAGCCACTGACAAAGCTGCGGGCTGAAACAGACACACACTCAAAGTGTTGCGATGATGATGAAAGAAGATGTAAGGCAGATGGGGAGGAACTTTCAGCTCAAGAAAAAAGTCATACATGTTTGCTGGCTTGGTTTCCACAAGACAGGTTTTCACACTTTGTTATGTCCAGTCATTTCCACCACATTTGTCAGTGTTGTGGATTCACATTTACACATCTCAGTCAACCAGTGAGACCAAAACTGAATTCCAGGGTGTTTTAAGAAGTTTCAAACTTTCATGACATCTGAACTGAGTGACAGACAGAAACAGATTTTGCAACAACAAATGCAGACCAGGGTGCAATTAGGCCGGAGCAGTCAACTGCCCTTGGCTTTGCTGGATCCCCCTTGGCCTCTCTCTCTCTCTCTGACCAGAATATGATCAGACTGTGGCTCTGTAGATGTTTCTTGAGGAATTTGACAGTGATGGTGGGAGGGGAGATGGGAAAGAGGAAGGGAGCCACATCTATGGACTGATTTTATCATTTGAGATGCAATAAATCACTTTACCAACATTTACAGGCATCAGAATTGTGGTTTGTAATCAACTGCTATATGTCATGCTGTATGTTTATGATTTTGATGGTAACTCCAAATAATGGCCTATAATTGTATGGAAAGAAATTACATAATTTAAAACACTATCCTTTTTAACAAATTGTTGTGTTTGGGGTTTACTTTCCCACTGAGCAGTTCAGCAGTGAGAATATTCACAGTGGGTTTGTTGCTCCAACATAGGCTTCAGTGATGAATTAGTTCCTTGACTTTTGTAAGGTTCCTTATGTTGATTTGACTCTCTTTTAAAGGGAATTAAATGGTGATGTCAAATTATCCCACTTGATTTGCATAACAGGTTCA